TGTTCAGCAGCGGAGCTCCGGAAACTGCGTCGACTTCTTCTTCAAAACATTATGATCGATCTAACTCTTCATCGCTGCTTATGACAATGTAATTGTCGCCAGTATTGCTTTATGTTGAGCATTGCCTTGTGTTAAGTACTGGTTCAAGACATCTAGTCACCTCGGCCCGTACATGGATTGGATTTAAAGTTTCCAGCCAAAAGACTCTCTTGACTAAAGACTTAGGGGACTTTTGTTGGTACCATATATTGGGCCTCGTCTTTGGGCCTCATCCCTAAGCTCATGATTTATGTAAAAGGGGAGAGAACCTTATTCTATAAAAGGGACTCTCCCTCACCCTCATAAACAAGGTCTCACCTTCACTAAGATCCAAAGAGCCTCACATCAAGAGGAAAACAAAAGGTCTCACCTTCACTAAAAGATCCAGAGAGCCTCATTATAATATAGAGGGTAATACCCTCTCAGCCAAATAGAGAGCAAAATGGCAAGGGCTGCATCCACAGAGAGCTCCCTTGTTGATTTATTGTAATTCATACAGTGAAACAGAATCAACATCAGTGTGGACGTAGCCCAAACATTGGGGTGAACCACGATACATCTTTGTGCTTTTATGCGTTTGTGTGATTCACGGTCGGATTTATGTTGGCCCAAGATCTTTCAGATTTTGTGCATCAACATTTGGCCCCGTCTGTGGGAAGCGACACGAAAAGCTATGCCGGTTCTCTCTCAATCTTTCATACCTCCACCGTGAATCTGCAGAAACCCAAGAACCAAACACCTGCATAGTCACTGCAAAACCCATGTCTTCCGCTTCAGCTTCCCGTCACGGTGGCATCGATGGAAACACAGACACAGAGCTCTCTATCTCCTCTCTTTCTCCCTCTAAATTGAATACTCTGCATCGTAGCGTATATTACAACGCAGACATTGCATTTGCGTCCTCAGATTTCAGCTGCTGATCGAATCAGATCTGTGAAATGCTTGTTGATTTATCTCTCATCTCCATCTGATCCGCGACCTTCCAAAGATGATGATCTTTAGCCCTGTAACTGTTAGCCATCATTCCAGCTGAAAAATGAGGAAGCATGGATGACAGCTTCCTTACCATCCTCTCCAGGTGGTGGCTGTTATTAACAAGGTGCTCAACGTTACAATTCCTCACATGTCCCTCGCCTGGTTGCTTTTCGTTCTGCCAACTTATCTCTTCTTCAAGCTTCTCCTCTCCGCCGCACGACATGTTTTTAGTGAAGACGTGGCCGGAAAAGTCATACTTATTCCTGAAGAAATTATTTCCGTCAGTGTACCACAAGAAGGAGAAGGACAAGACGACGAACCATTACTGTCAGTATGATAGTCAAACGTTAACCATGTTCACATCGTCGATGTACTTCGCTGCTTTCATATCCTCGATTGTGGCCGCCACCGTGACGCGTAAGTTTGGCCAGAAACTGTCTATGTTGTTCAGTGTTCTTTTGTTCTGCGTCGGTGCTATCATCAATGGCACTGCCGAAGTTGCCTAAATGTTGATTCTCAGCCGTATGTTGCTCGGTTTCGGCATCGGATTCTCTAATTAGAGCATGGGTCGCAAGGAGACAGAGCTATGGTGACAAAGAACATGCGACAAGTGTCGTAGATACGTCGGTGCCGAGGTTGGTAAGGAAGAGAGGGTCCGAAGTACTAAAGATCAAATGTAAGCGATATATTCCCCAGACTGAACGTGCTCCGCAGGTAAAGACCATGTAAAAGTATCCCAATGTGGGACCCGACGCCCAAGCCTTCTTATTGGTCTTCCGTATCTCTGCAAAATCCTCAACTGCATCATCATCACAGCCTTTGAGAATAATGGAGAAATTGCATTTTCTGAAAAAGCCATAGGAAAAGCAACGAAGGAGATCATTTCTACCAGACTTATCTATCTTTAATCATTCCAACCTAAGTCTCCGACCTAAAAACCCACCAAAGAAGATGCCCACCAACAATGAAACTTTCATCATGAAAAGGCTTTTCTGAAAAAGTCACGGGAACAACAAGATAAGATTTTTTATTTATTATTATTTAATAGTTTATTATTATCTTGTGTTGATGGATGCTTTACAGTATGCATATTCTTTGAGGAGACCACATCATTTCTATCACACTTATATTTTAGTGCACAGTTAGCAATATATTATTTGCTTTCATGATATGTGTGCATATAATGCGGCACCTCACGATAAATATATATGATCTGATAGTGCGGTACCTTACAATATTTGCTTTTCCACTACTGCTGTGTGCTTATTATGCCGGGTCACGACGCATACACGTCATTACTACTATCATTATTTTATTGTTATATAAATTGCATTACTGCCTAAATGAATGAGGTGACATGTTATAGTAATATGTTTTACATTATTATGAATGGTTTATCACATGACTATTTTCCATAACATGTGGCAAGTCTGACCAGATTATACCTTTTATTATTTGAATGTTAGGGTGACATAACTTTGGTGGTTCATGGCACGAATTTTACTGATCAACATTGTTGCTGATTAAAAGAACCCAATATGCGAACCCAACAAGCGGACCCGAATCATGTTGAGAATCAACTTATACTGAGTGCATGCTGACATAAAGTACATACTTGCAATGAGGAACACCACAAAGCCGAGCCACCTCGTAGCGAGCATCGCCTCTAGCCGAGCAGCCTCGCAACGAGCATCGCCTTCAGCCGAGCAACCACCTCGCCACGAGCATAGCCTCCAGCTGAGCAGCCTCGCAACGAGCATCGCCTCCAGTCGAGTAGTTGACTCTTCACGTGATCGTAGCACTTGAGCGTATTCATTTACACACAGTCCTGTCATACAGACCACTATAGTGGTTCCGACTCGTGTGCAGGCGTAGTGCCATATAGGTTAATATAGGTGACTCCGGCTAGATTGAGATATGAGTTATAGACTTAGCCGTACAGGCCACAAGAGGTGTATCCGACTGACATATCATTTACATATGTGATGAGATACGAATATGTCGTACAGATCACTATATGTGACTCCGACTTATATGCTAGCAATGATTAATGAGATATATGAGGAGATATGGATATGTCATCTAGGTCACTAAAGGTGACTTTGACTTATAAGCTAGCATGTGATGAATATGTGATAAGCTAGCATATGTGATAAATATGTGATGAGCTAGCATACGTGATGAATATGTGATGAACTAGCATAGGTGATGAATATGTGATGAGCTAACATATGTGAAGAATATATGATGAACTAGTATATGTGATGAATATGTGATAAGCTAGCATATGTGATGAACTAGTATACGTGATGAGATATAGGTAAGTCGTACAGGTCACCATAGGCGACTCCGACTTGCATACTAGTATGAGTTATTAATCACATGATTATTTGATATTGCTAACGAGATGTTGTATTGTGGCCAGGATTAACATGAGAGATTTTAGACCATGACATTTTAGTTATGAGCATCAGAAAAAGTATAATGTGGTAGAAGTTACATGGCCTTACTATTAGAGTTTGGCTATCTTGATAAAATATTCATTAACCATATTTCCCAACTAGAATCGTTTCCTAAAAAACTTATAAAAGTAGCAGAAGATTATCCAGAAAAGTGGAAAGAAATTTGCATAAGTTTTATTAGTAGTCCTCCAGATTGGTATGTACATATGCATAAGGAGAAAGCCAAGCATATAGTCATAATTAATGAAGAGTCCTTTAGACTATACCCCACCTCCACACATAGGTGGACTCCTTCATACAAAAATACTCTAAAATTTTGAGGGATCCAAATGATAGCCTTAGATGAGGTAGAAGATTTTAGGTATGATGTGGTGTTAGTAGCAGAAGAAGAAGAAATGTATATTTACAGCAAAACAAAGATCAGTCATCAGCCTTATTGGAAGCCTTAAAATTTCAAAGAAGAAACAACATAAATATACTACAAGGTGAAAGAAGATAGAGAAAGAGATGGAGAGCTAGTAGAAAGCGACGAACAATATTGGAACAATTTGACAGAAGAAGAGCTGCATAACATCAACAACATGATGGAAGCATGAAAAGTTGGCAGTAAATTAGCATAAGTTGGATAGAATCATGTAAAATAATGTATTTCCAGATAGAAATGTCGACATCATTATGGACCCCGCTGCAATAATAAAATAATGGCATAAGAGTAAATAAAGAAAAGATCTTGATCCATTATGAACTTTTCATACATAAAATGTCATTTTGATTAAAAATAAATAGTGTCAGACCCTTTTCATTAACACTCCCTAGATTTATCCCCATCATTGGTCTTCCAAGCAAATAGGATGACACATTGTAGATTTTGGTGAAGGTGCAGATGGGTACGTGGCACAGTAGTTCGCATTGGTTTAAATCAGTTTATTTTAATTACTTTTTATATTTCTCACAAAAGTTGTTCAATTTAATGGATGTTCTTATTTTTTTAATTTTCTATCTTGTAAATAGTTACTTTATTTAAATTTTTTTTTCTAATTAAAGGCGATATGTTGTGTTAAGCTACATTAAAGAGAGGATTAACTTGTCTTTTATCTCTATTATTATGAAGAAATAGAGCAAAAATGGTAAATCAATTGTAATACCAAAATTTACTCTTCCCTTAAATACATATTAAAATTAAGGGTAAGTTATACAAAACTACTTCAACTATGAGCAGGAATGTGCCTACTCATTCGCCAACTGGAATAAAAAATTGATTACTTATTGATAAATTAATAACCTTTTTATTTAACAATTAAAATTATTTATAAAAAAAAATACTCACTCCTCCTTTCTCCCCATAATTCGTCCCCCTTCATCTTCCCCTCACTCCCTCCTCTGTCTCCCTTCTTCCTCGTCTTCCTTAAACACAACCAAATTTGTTTTGTTTTTACTCTCCTTCCGTACCCCCACCGACCCCAGTTGAGAGCTATGTCAGCGTCATGTCGATTGAGAGTGATGTGGACGGAATCGGCAAAGGTTTCAGGGGTGACGGAGGCAAAGAAGTCGACATAGTTGTCGAGCAGAATTGGTGGATGTCGATGGGGCCGGTGGGGAAGGGGCGGTTGATCTCCATTCGTCGCCTTCGAGTCCATCAATTTGGACCGGCGAGTTCGTCATATCAGATCGGCACATATTTTACTTGTTTGCAAGGGCGTAGCTACCATGGGCCTAAAGGGCAGATGCCCCTACTGAGATTTTTCTGGTTCTGCTCAAACTGATCTGGTTGTTGAGTTTTAAGTGTTTGTTTGTATATATCTTTTCATAGAGAAACAACAAAACAAGAATACAAAATATATAGGGTAAGGTGTGATCAACACACTGATCACCCTTGAATAAATCTTACACGGCAGCTCCATAAAACAGGGAGCAGAAAAAAGGTAAGGCAAAAAGCTTCTAACCACCCTAGAAGTATGGGAAAGAAGATAAAAGATCTAACTAGAAGTAAGGTGACAACTACACCCTAATCATCAACCTAACCAACAGCTCCGGATACCCACTCTTACTTTTATTAGTCGATATGGGGTGACTGATGCTGCACTGCGCATACTGATGCTGCATATGGAATACCTACTCTTAACTTTCAATATTGGTTCTACAGCAGTAGAGCTGGGTAAAAAAAAAAAAAAAAAAAGTAATTGAAACAATGTCGTTTCGTATGTGTTTAAAAAAAAAAAAGTATGTATAGTGGGGGATCGCTTGTCCCCACAGTCCACCCCATTTCCATCCCTGTTTCATTTTTATTTGCCTTTGCCAATCAGAGAGCAGCGTGGTGCTGCTCTGCCCCCAAATTCCCAGCAGCTTGAAACAGAACGGAACAGGAGCAAATCTGTTGTTCCCAGCCAGTGCACTGCAACCACGCCAGCAGCCAACCACTCCAGCCAGCCACTCTCTCGCCAACATATATATATATTTAGGTAAATTTGTTAATTCCTAAATCTATAATCCATAATCCTAATTAATTATTTAAGACAAATTTTTGTTTAATTGGTATAGAAATATAGAATCATATGGTAATGCACCAATATGGTTATTAATTATTGATATGAATTCTACACTTACTGATAAATGAAATTATGAAATTACGAATTCTATGAATATGGGTATACATTTATTCATATGATTAGTTGAATTAAATGTTTATTTGTTGAATAATTTGTATGCTTATTGGTATTGGTTAATTGAATTGTTGGTTGGATTAATTATTAGGCATATTAGTATAGTGTTTAGTAAATTCTTAGTAAATTCTTAAGCTTTTTAATTATAATTTTATTGTTTGAGGTTACATTCACACAAATCCCTGGCTTCGTCCTGCCTGTCCAACGGGGAATTTCCGGTGTTTTGACTCCCTCCCTGATTCTTGTGGAGGCTGCAACGAAATGATCTGGTTTTCTTTGAAACGGCAGTGGATCGATTCGAATGATGGTTGGGAGAAATCGAACGGTGGTTAATGGAGAACCGGACGGACGGAGACAGAGAGGAGAAGGTGTAGAGGTTGACACGCGTCGGGGAAGTGGATCTGTGATGGCGATGGTTGCTTTGCGCTAATTGTAGTGGCGTCGGAGTTCTGGGCCAATTTTCAAATGGCCACTTCTTGAATTTGTAAAATTTAATTTCTCTAATTTCTTGGATTTTCTGGATTTTCTAGGTTTATATCTGTGTTTTTCGTTTTGGGTTTTGTTTTTGTGGGGTATTATCCGATGATGTTTTATGAAGCATCTAATATTACAACAGCATTTTGTTTTTTTTTTTTTTGGAAAAAACAGAAGGAGAAAAAAAAAACAAAAACGTAAGATCCAACCACAAAACACAGAAATATCGATAAAATTCTAATTTCATTTCGACAAATTGGATATGCCAAATGGCTACATTCCCAAAAGCAATGACAAAGAAGAACAGCAACGGCCGGCTAAAAATTCGCAGGCGCTCCGGCGACATAAACTTCTTCTCTTCTCGCTACTTGTCCGATAAATCGGACGCGAGCCGAGACGCGATCGCCGAGTGGTACATGAAATCGTGGAACGCGGAAGTCTCCAGGGTCTTTTTCCGCAGTTGCTTCGCCTTCTCCTCCGTGAAGCACCCCAGCGCGAATCTGGATCCGGCTCGGGTAGGGTCAGAACCCGGATCTTTGTTGCTGGCGTTTTGTCCCGGATCGGCGTTGATGTACTCCGCAGGGTCGGAAGACCAGCCAAAGAGCGGGGTCCACCAGTTGGCGGAAGCGGTCTTGCGGCGGTTCGGGCCGGACCGTTGGGAGGCGGAGGCGTTGGGTCGGATCGAAACGGGTCTGAAGGACGTGAGAGGAGTTGCCATTGTCGGTGCGGGATCGCAATGCAGGAAGAAAAGCAGAAGATTTACAGGAAACGGTGGGAGTGAAGATGGAGGCGTATGGATGTTGATGGTTTTGAACATTTGAGAGAGATGATGGGATTTATCTGCTGCTGCGGCGTACAGCTTCATTGCATGTGGAGCTTAACTTCCAGTGTTTGTACAGTTGGATATTTTGGTCTTTACGTAAAATAGGTAAGGGTAAGATGGGAAGAGATGTGCAATTAGGGAACAGGTGGAATGTGATAGGAGGGGATGGGGTTCGGTAAAGGGAGTGGATAAGATCGGACACATGGGAGGACGTGGAAGCGGTGTTGGTGACTTGAAGTGCACTTTTTGAAGATAAAGGCCGAAAAGGGGACCCGGGGTTTGAACTGGTTTAGAAATTATGGAGATATCATATCCAATGGGCTTTAAGACGATGTCTTCCAGCTCAACGCCCAAATTATTATGGGCTGTGGCTCAAACAATGACCAGCGTACAAGAAGAGAACTACATGTTTCATGAAAATTTCAAAACTCGTTTGAAAGTATTTTAACATGGTTGAAAGCATTTTTTGTGAAAAAAAATTTGGAATCAATTCTTAGTAAAAATGCAAGTAAATCATGGAAAAGTACTTCAAGTGTTTTTAGAACCTAAAAATATTTTCTCTAAAAGAGCTTTCAGTATTTTAAAAGCACTCTCAAATAAACTCTTATTAACTTTGGTGTATTATTCTATTCTATATATCGGGATGAGAATCAATCAGTAGATGTTATGTGTTTAAACATCGATTATGTCATGTCATTATCTGCTGAATTTATATATATATATATATATATAAAGTCTTAAATTCAAATCTCACATCCCCATCTATTAAAGAAAGAATTGTTATATGAACACATCACAAAAAGTTGTCACTTATGTATCTTTTATAGGCAAATGACTCTTTACCGCAGTGGGAAGTGTTGCCTTTGCACCACGATAGGAGTTCGCACCTTGTTGGCTCCCTAATCTAATATCTAATCTAATAAATCTATTGTTTGACCAAAACAAAAAAAAAAAAAAAAATCTTTCATATAAAAGGTTCAATTTGAGATACAATACAATATTTAAACATTGACTATGCCCGGGCGACTATTTACAAAATACATAGATCTCCGCAGAGTCGCAAGACCATGTATGGGGGCTGACACTTGCCCAGTTCCTAAAAGTTAAGGAAGTTGGTGACTTGAAGACAGGTGAGCCGACAACCAAAGCCCCAATGAACAGCAACCGTAACTATAATGGTCCTAAGATAGTGAAATTTTTTGTCAGATAATTTCTGACTAGCACGAAAGGTGTAACAATCTAGACACTATATTTAGATTACAATTTCAACCTTCCAAAAAGGAGGGTTGCAACAACAACAAAAGACTAGAGTTAATCACAAGTTGCACATATAATGAGCAAATAAAGTACAAATAATTAAACTCACTCACTAAACTTGTAATTGATTTTGTCATAGAGGGACTGAAAACGAACTCAATTTTGTAAGAAGATAATTCGTAAGGGCTAACGACTCCACAATTGAGAAGGGCATCGTACCAGTCATTTTTGACAATCCGGAGATCTTGTCCAGCCCACTTAACAAAAACACCCGTAAATCACTTGAGTTACAAATCTGTCGTAGATTAAAGGTTAGTTGATAAAGTTAAATAGTATTGAATTCCAAATTTAAAAATTAGTACCTTTGATTTGTGGTGGATCTCGAGTGTATGAGTGTATATTTTGTACCTCTGATTGTACAACGGATAGTTAAAAAAATCATCTAAAACTCAACGTAAAAATCAGGAACATAAATGAAAACCTAAAGACTTAAATGAAACTTGCATCCAGAAAATAATCGCGGATTATAAACAAAAGAGAAAGTAAAACAGAAATACTCATCTTCTAATTTTGGTGTCTGCAACATCTTTTGTAAAATCTGCACTATTTCCCATAGAAAGTTTAACAAACAATGCGCAACATGGATTGACGAAAAAAAAATGAAACCCAAATACTCATCATCTAAACTCTTAAAAATTGAAATCAAACGATTTTTTTTTTTTTTAGAAATTGATTTATATCTTAGTTGGAGTATTCAAAACTTCAAAACCACCATCTATTGATAAAGAAAAGCATGTTTTTCTCTACAAGAGCTATTAAGGTTTTAGCCGGAATGAACATAGAATAAGTGTGTGTTTGTTGATAAATTTAAGTTGTATTATTACTTTTATATTGTATTTGATGGTAATAATACAATATGATAAAAAAGATAATTAACATTTAAAATTCAAGTTAAATATAGAAATAAGTTACGTGGGTTGAAATAAAATTTCCGTAAATTGAACCCAAAAAGAATGGTTTGGAATAATCTAGAGACGTCTTTTTGATTTGTTTGGACTTTGGACCCAAAGCGAAGTGAATCTAGAGACGTCGTTTTGATTTGTTTGGCCCTACGACGCAGCGTTTTGGTACTTGTTGAGTTCAGTTGGGCTGTTGAAGCCACGCAATCTCATCCCTTCCGAGTTCAACACTTCGCTCACTTTGGAGCCCTCACTTCCGCGCCATCCACACCCTCTCTCTGCTTCTCTTGTGCGCCCCACACCGCCGCTTTCCACCACTGCTCCGCCATAATTCGCTCTCTGTAATCTCTTTCTCTTTCTCACCGTCGTTAGGGTTTCAACAATTTCGTCTCGCAAATTTGCTTAATTTTACTTAATTTCTGATATTTTGTTAGCTTTGTGTGTTCCACTGCTAGCGCTCCTTGAGCACTCGGTTAGCGGTTCGCATCGCATATCAGGTAATTTCAATATTTCTCCTTTTCGTCCTTCGGGTTCGATTTTCCTGCGCCGTGTTAATTTGTCATTGGAAACGTAAATTCTTTGTTTTACCTACCAATTGAGAATTTGAGATGGTGCCTTTTTCTTCAATTTTTAAGCTTTTCTTCGCTTCTGCTATTCGATGGCATATCTATATGTTTTACTTGTAAGTTGTTTGTTTCGGACTATATTTGCGTCCGTTGCTTGCCACATGCTTGTTCAATTTTTTGCATCTTTCTTTTGTTGTGCGTATAAGGTTTAGGTGCACTAGTAAGAACCTTTGAAGTCAATGCCTTTTGTATGAAAACAAAAACATCTTAAGATAAAAGGGGCTCATTTGGGTTCATTTCCGTAAGTTAGTTAAACCCAATTATGATACGGAGCGTTGTGGTATACGTATTGGCGAGAAAGTGTAGAGACTCACAAAGAAGGTAAATGTACAGTTGTAGAGGGATTGATGGAGTCACCGAATTGTATGTACAAAAGTTTGGGGTGTATGACAGGGTAATGAGTAGGCCCTTTAATTGCAAATTGAAGTGGTGGTATTGTCATCCAAACAATATTTCACGGCCCAACTTAAAAGACAGGAATTAATTACCTTTTTACATCGATATGGAATTAATTAACGCCTTTCCACCATGGCCACACCCGTTACGCTATTTTTTAATGCCTTTATGCCAGAAGAGTTTTGTGACATTGAGTGTATAGTTGTAATTGTTGAATTTGCTACTTAATATAGCTGTTCAAAATATAAGCAATCACATGATTCATATCACACACTTATATGCACATGATGATTACTTCTCTAACTAGTAGCACCAAGAAGAACATGTGCCCACAATCAGCAGCATCCATTACAGGATAAAGAAAAGCTAATGGTGGGAGAGAGAAAGAGAGCCCTGCCCATGGTGCCCATGGCCACTATCACTCTTACTCAGTAAACATTGGGATTAGGGCCAGGGAAAAGGGAAGAATAAGAAGGGGGAATTTAGGAATAACAGGTGGTGAGATGAGTGGATTAGAATCTTTTAATATTTGATGAGGCTGAGTCTTTGTTTTTGGTCAATAGCGCCACTCTAAATTTGCTAAGTTAAGAATTGTAATACATAATTCTAAGAAATCATGAAAACAGTTAAAATGGATACCGAGAGAATGAGAGACAAAAAGGATTGGGCAATCTATTAAATGTGAATCATTATGCAAGGTGGGGAAAAAAGGCGTTATTAATAAAATGGAAAAAGTTTAAATTAGGAGATAGGTTTACAATTTTTTTAAACTAGTAGTATAATAATAACTAATGAGACATTAATATTTGTAATTAACTAAAAAGATGAGATAAGTGGGAAAGAATGTTGCGAGAGAAGAGGCTCTGTACGTCAGGACCTCTGCTAGGTTGACTAGTCCTTCTTCTCTCTCCATTCGTGTTGTGGTCGGTTTCTCCGTTATTGTTTATCACACCTCTCTGAAAATAGTCATTTACAGAACTATTTCATCAATACGAGTTATCCCCAAGTATGTTTTGTTGGAACATTAAAAAATTCCTGATATAGTGTGTTTGTTTCTGCTCAGTGCTCGCAGAAAGTTCATTGAATGGCGATTATTCATTGTGGAAGTACATGGGTTACTCAATGGGGCATTCGTCCTCAGACTATGCTAAGGCCCTGTGCCATAAACAAGGTCCTCACATCCCAATGTTGGTAAGTTTTTTTTTATTTTTATTATTTTATTTAAGAGCCTTACGAAGAGGTCGCACTTGGTGCGATGGCAAGTGCCTTCGCCCATGAGCGGTAGGTCTCGGGTTCGAGACTTGGGAGCAGCCTCTCCATAAATGGGGGTAAGGCTAGCCGACATTCACCTCTCCCAGACCCTGCGTAAAGCAGGAGCCTTGTGCACTGGGTACGACCTTTATTTAAGAGCCTTACGAACGCAATTCACTCCGCTTATAAAGTTCTGATTATATTCCTATCAATTTTGACATTTATTTCTATATATGCTATATCTGTTCCCTTCATTTTGTTTTGGTTTGGTTTCTACTTCTAAATTAACGCATCTGCTTAACAAGCTACCAGCATCTCTTAGATTGTTTTTATGGTATTAGTTGAAGTATCATCCTGAATGCAGTGTTTCAAGCAAAATAGGATATTTGGGGGCACCAAGTTCAAGCTTGTTCTCTCGGGATTCCTTGAATGCTCTATTCTGTGCAGGCCCATCTCAAACTTCACATCGTAGCAGGGGAGCACGATTTATAGTTAGAGCAGATGCTGTGAGTATAACAAACATTGGTTGTACTTTTTCTTCCATGAATTAAGAAGCTTAATGAATGAA